ATAGCAAAGAAATTGTCGCACGGACCTAGATACAAATGAGACTAGCAATCAAGAGGAAAGAATAAAGGCAATGGACAAAGAGGAAAAAATGATAGGTGTGAGGATGTCAAATAATAAAACCGCAATTTGTGAAATTTTGTTTTAAAAAAATGAAACGGCCTAAGAAGAAAAAAATGTTTGAATAATCACGAGATCAGTAATGGAACAAAAAATTCTCGATGGTATTGCAATTTCCAATTTGTTTATATCAATTTTTTTTTATCCAATGATCAAATAATTAATTGACAGAGAAGTGCAATAAGCAAAAAAGATTCGAAAAAAAATTTCATCAAATTCAGAAAAATTTATAAATCAATTAAAAATTAAATAAAATTTATGTAATTAATTAAAAATTATACTATAAACACACACACAATATATGTGCTAACAATTTTTAAAACAAACGTATATTAAACAAATGTATATTAAATCTAGGGTAAATGGGGTGAATATGCCACACTTAAGCAAAATTAGATTTTTGAGTAATTATTTGTTCAATTTAAAGTAATTTTACATACTGATCTTCTTCTTCCATCCTTTATCTATCATTTGTGTATAATTAGAAAAAAAATATATATATATATGTATATATACCGATATATTAGAGAAAATGCCTACTGGCATTTAACCCCAACAAAAGTAGTGGCACATTGCCCCAAGACGTCATTTTATCATACTTATGATAAGCCTGTACAGTACGACTGTTAAGAAAATGAATCAACGATATTTGACTGAATATTTTCATTTTAACCTACTCTAATAGATTAACAAGCTAATCGAGCTAAATATTATGTAATGTTTAAATAATAACTTACATAAAGTACTATAAAAGTTATAAGAAGCACATTTTGGTATACCATGCCGTCATATTTACCTCATAAAAACAATACTGTTGCCAGGAAATTGTTGCTACTTATGCAATATGTTAAGCACACAATTATACACAATGTTATAGTACTGATGCAAGCGCTGCTAATCGGTATCATTGTAAAACAAAACGTGTGACATATTCCCCACACTGGCGTATTACCTGCACTTACCCTATTTCAAAAATAAAAGATAGTCGCATAATTTTTTTTCAGAAAATATTCAATCTCGTATTTATATATACTGAGATAAAATATATTAAATTTTAACAAATAGTTGAATCATAGATATTTAATGTAAACATATATATACTAAATATTTAAAAATATTTATTAAATTTAAACGTATATATTAAATATTTAATAATATTTTCTAAATGTAAATAATATATTTATTTTTACAAGAATCCTTAACATTTAACTATCTTTTTTTTTATTTAGAATAAATATTTAATTATCGTAAATAAATATTAAGTTAGTACTATACAAATATTTATTAAATTTAGTATATTTTTTCTTGATGTAACAAAGGTATTTAACAACATAAATCATAATCGAAAGATCATTCAAATATTATTAAAGATAAATGTCTTGAATACGATAGCATATCGTTACTTTCAATTTTGTTGAATATGCTCAATGGTGGGATTCGGTATTGAAAGCATTGTTCATTGCAAATGGGACTTCTAACGTTGCTATTAAAAATTTAATATCGCTATACTTCGGTAGGATTGAACATAAATGTTTCATGTGTATACCTACAAATACTTTAGCCTTCAACTGCTACCAATTTTCCTAGCGGCATATTTATCGTTGATATCTTGACTATAAACTTACGCAGGTTCTTTTTAAAGAACAGCCAAAAAGAAACGCACATGGAGTAACGCTGAATTATTGTTTCGCCGTAACGAAACTCAAAGTGTTGCTGCGCCAAGTATGTATCGCATCTACGCTCATGCGCGAGAATATTTTCTCTTGACAAATAACATAAATAAACATCAAATATTTAAAACGAGCAAAACTAGGTGACTGGTAATATTAATTATTTATTAATTATATACATGTAAATCTCAAAATGTTTCGACTTGACTTAGTCTTCTTCAGCTATGAATAAATTGCAAACGAATTATATATTATAAAAGTAAAATTAAGCGCATGTCAACGGAGATGGATAATATAAATTAAAATTTTTTGCGGGATCTCATGTTATCAACGATTTAAAACAAAACATTTTTCTTCACTGATGTAATTCTATAACAAACCGGTTAAATTGATGTCCAAGGAAACCAAAAAAATTCTGCGGTTGATGACGAGAAACAGGTTGAGTCAATATAATTAAAATGTAAGAGAAAAAAAAATTAATTTTTTAATTCAGTCAACGGTAAAATTAAGAACCAATTTTTATCGCTCTTTAACTTTGACTTGTAGATACATCTTACCTTTATATTTAATTTCAACTTTCTGATTTGTAATTTGCACATAATGCATTTGTCCACAATTCTTTTGACTGGGATTTATTCTCTTGCATTTTAATTATGTTGACTCCACCTATTTCTCGTCATCAACCGCGGAAATGGTTTGGTTTCTTTGGACACTAATTTAACAGGTTTGTTGTGAAATTGTATCAGTAAAGAAAAAGTTTTTGTTTTAAATTGTTAGTAAGATGGGATCCTGCGAAAAATTTAAATTTATGTTATCCGTCTCCATTAACATTATGCGCTTAATTTTATTTTTATAATTTATAATTTGTTTACAATTTATTCACGGCTGAAGAAGACTAAGTCAAGTCAAAACGAGCTTTACATGTATATAATTATAATAAATAATTAATATTATTGGTCACCTAGTTTTGCTCGTTTTAAATATTTGACCTTTATTTACGTTATTCTTATTTCCCTTGCACATATACGAGCTGTAACAAAATTTATCTTTACAATATTTTCTCATCTTTGAAATCGCCCGGAAAAAATGCACATGCGAGATGCACACGAAACAATTTCGTGCTGCATTATCATACATTTTGATTATCTCGGACGATTCGGCAAAAAAATGTGAGTTTTAAGGTAATATGAAAACAAATAAGGAACCTAAGTGACCGCCTAAAGTAATTCTCACAATGAAAAAATATATTCTTATATGTATATATATATATATATATATATATATATATATATCATTAAAGACAATACAAATAAACACAATACATGATGATAATAATACCGTCTTCTAATAGAAAAAAATTGGTATAAAATCATATTTTCCAGCAGAGAAATATATTAAATCAATTTTTACATGTATCCTATAATCCATTTATTTATTTCGTTTGTAGTATAACGCTATTTGCTATGTAATAATGTTACATAACAAATAACAAATATAATAGAGTAAAACTTTTCGTGATATTTTGCTCATAGACGTAAAATGAATAGATAGAGCATTGCCAACTTCTTGTTATTGCCAGCGAACGGTAGAACTGCAGAAGAAGAACATGTTCTCTCTTTATTTATTGATTCATTTACATTATGTACGCGTACGTGATATACATTCCAAAAAGTTTTACTCTTATTTTAATAGTAATAAATACTTATGAAATAATATATCATCGCAATTTATATTGGGTTACATACTGTATATTTTCGTGATTTTTTAATCAGTATAAAATATGTTTAATTAATATGACTTATGACATGTAAATATGACACTAACGTTGCATATAATCTGTCCTGTCTTGCTGAAAGTTAAAGAACCCCCGACTAATTATATAAAAAATTGGATTCCGTTAAAATGAGTCAATTTTTGATACGTAATGTAGTTTATAATGTAGCAAACAAAAGATGTCAAGACACAAAGCTCAATAATGAATAGTTTTTTAGCTATGGAGTATCTAAGATACTCTGTAAAGGGGTAAGCACAAGTTTTAAACCTTTAATACACCATAGCTCAACAATCATCCATTATTAATTTCAGTTCATGTCAATTTTCTCTCTCAACATTCCATCTCTTAAAATATAAATACTATTGTGTATTTTATTGACAGGGCAATTTCTTTTCAAACATCATAAAAAAAATCTAAAATTGGTTGTAAACTTTCTTCTTGAAAACGACTAGATTTTATCATTAATCAGACAAATCTTATTGTTAATCACCAAAAGGTTAAAATACCTGACTACATCTGATGTAAACACCACTAAATAATAAGACTCCGACAATAATCAATCGGAAACAATCAATTTTTGGTTTACAAATCCCTTACATTCTACATATATCAGCTGTTTTAAAAATTATTACAAATTTGAAAGAAAAAATGTCTCTTCTCTCCTTGGATCTATGAACTACTCTTTTATCATGGCTCTGCAACGATTGCATGCTGAAAATGACCCAAAGATGTACCGAAACGACTTTTCTAACCGATAATTCGATTTTTTTAACCTACATGTAATGTATTGATTTCATCTTTTTCTGAATTTATTTGCGCATCAACTTCCGTGCTTGATTCGAATTTACCATTTTTATATCATTTATTATTACATCCATTATTAAGTCTTGTGTCTATGACATCTTTTGTTCATGTGTGTGTGTGATATTATAAACTACATTATATATAAAAACTAAATCATTTCACCGAGACTTATATAATTATTGCAGGAGGCCTTTGCCAACACACCAACGTATGTGCAAAGAAATAAAAAGAGAACGTCAGTACATTCCCTCTTCTCTTCACAGTCACACCATTCGCTGACAATGCGTCCTTCTACATAGAAAAGGATATAAGTAATGATCCGCTTATTTAAACTGGGTGTGTTCCGATATTAACTGCCAGTGCTGAAAATCTATAGCGCACGTAACATATACTGTATAGTTTCAGCACTGGCTTATATCGGTATGACTTGGAATATACAATATACAAAAATTATACTTTGTATTTTTTTTTTTAACAAATGACCGCAAAAATAGTGCTTATAATACCAAATCGTTATCTCTCATCATTATTTTTAATTGTATTCCAATAAACTATACTCTAAAAATATACTCTAATAAATTATAAAGAATGACTGGCATTATAACAAGTACTCGCGTTATGATAGCGTCAGTTGTGTTCTCGTTCCTAGAGTGATAACTTCTGAGAGCGTTTCTGTAGCGTTTTCACGTCATCTCGTCAGTAAGTCAACACCATCGTAACAGTATTATCTGATCTAAAATTGCTTAACTAACCAAGCGTTTACGATATCTTCGATATTCCGAGATTGCGAAACTGGCTTCTGACGTGTTTCTAAAATGAATTATCCTATCCCATAAGCTTTCCAGTTCCCTTAATAAAGTTTAAATCTTCGATCGTACCAAATATAGCAAGTGCGTGGATATTTTATAAAGTAACGATAAAAGAAACACATATAGAGATAGTCACATCAATTGCACAATGACTTGTACGTGACGTCATGTGTCCTTAAACAGGAGACGATGATAACGAGTACAGTCAGTTATTTTACTCTAGTTTACTCATTAAGCGGAGAAATGACATTTCAAAAAATGGAAAATTTTCGTTTGAAGAAGAACGACGTGTGATTATACATTTTCTAATCGCTGAAGGCGACCATGCTGATTGGCATTTTGAAATTTATTATAGGATGGTTACTGCGCGTAAAGATTAGGTTTCATGGAAAACGAAATAAATGTCAATCAATATAATCAGTATAATGCCTTCAGCGATTAGAAAACGTATCGAACGTTGTACTTCATCAAATAAATTTTCCAATCAAAACATTATCTCTGCTTAACAAATGAACTGGAATAACCAGTAAGACAACTAAAATTGTGCTTCCTGTCCAAGGATACGTGACGTCACATGGAAATCATGCACACATAACACCGCGTATGTAGCCACACATAATATTAAATATAATCAAATATGCATAATGTCGATTAGTGGTTTCCCACGAGGCGTGAACATAGACGTCAGTAGGATTTTTTCCAAGCGAGGGTATGATTCAAGTCTCCGCCTGGAAAAAAAACTTGCTGACATCTATGTTCACGTTCATGGTTCACGCCTCGTGGGAAACCGGCATAACAGAATTTTTTATATCATGTCGAGAGTGGCTGCTATAACGCTCATCATCTTTTCATTTGATCAATTTAATAAAAAGTTTAAAATTAATTAAAGATGATAATAAAACGCATACAAATTTGAAATTTCAACATAGTATATGGGAGTTTCATCATCATTAAAACTACGTCATTGTTAAAATATTAATATAAAACCTTATTGAAATAGACGAGCCTTATTATAATATACAAATACATTTAAAATTGATTGAACTAGTAGTGGGGAAAATACTGTAGAATTCCGTTATGCATGAAGGATAACTGACCTTATTTCTGGTAATATTTCGCCGGCAATATTTCAGAAAGTCGAGGCTGATCTATTCTGAAGTACAGTCAGTCTCGGAAAATCGAAAAACACAGTGAGAAAGTTTCATTAATCCATATAATGATATCAGGAAGACGAAGACAATGTGACAGAAAAGAAACAAGATAAATTTAAAAAACGAGCAAGATAGATTAACGTTAAATAGCTCAGCTGTTCTATTTACGAATTGCAATCGCCAATATTTACGCATTACACACATATTCTCGACAGATTTAATTTAAAAAAAATAAAAACGTAGATTCCCATAATATTGTAGCATGTAAAATTAATAATATTTATACAAGAGTAAAAAATAAAGACAATTAAGAATATGTAACATACGCTTTTCACATAATGAATATCTTAGGCTCCAATTTATATCGTAATCGATCAGCGAGAGAACACGTTAACGAGGGCCATAAATACATCCGCGGCGGCTGAGACTTTCAAAGTCAGTGAAACTCAGTTACTTAAATTAGATCCGGACGTCCCTTACCCAACGGCAGACCAATAAAATCTTCCATTACCGCATAACAGCGCGTCAACGTGAAATGAACGCGACCGCGCTTAACTTCTGGTCCCTGGGTTCTCCAGGGAAGGGCACGACGGTAGACAGAGAGGCAGTTGGGGCAAAAAGGGATAAGTCGGGCGTAGGATGGTGGATGCAGAATCCAGAGGCAATATTTCACGGTACTTCCCACGACGCGTCTACCGCTTCCAGCTCTTTTCCTGGCCGCTTCAACATCCCCCTCTCTTCACTTTTCGCTCCGTTCGCTAAGTTGACGGTAAATTCGCTTGGCGTCTGAACGGTATTTCAGGAGCGTGAGTTTTCCGTCATCCGTCCATCGATTCGCCTTAACGCGGGGATTAGGTAGCACCAAATAAGAGTCACGTCGCATCAAAGCGAGAAGAAATTTCCCTTTTCTCAACTTCATATGATTTTGACATTTACTACGTTTTTACTTCTATGGCACATTTTGATGATAATAACACGACTGGTTATCTATTCTACTTCGATCGTATTCATCTATCGATCGTTTGCATAATCATTACAAAGAACTTTAGTGATAAAAACTACATATCTCTCCCTCCCTCCCTTCCTTCCATCTCTTTCTCTCTTTTGTATTATACGTGTATTAGCATAATGTAACCATTTTATGCGAAAGATACAACACGATACGTAACCTGAAGAGGTTGCATTATACAAAGAAAGTCTATAAATGCACACAAAAGTTACTTGTATGTACACATTTTGCTCTAAAAGTTACAAAGAGCCATTTCACGCAGAAAATGCATAACGTAATTCAAAACACGCATTCCCGAAGATTCCACAAGTGGTAGCTACAAGTTCCGCATAGAAACTTTCATCGTGAAAATAAACGCGAAGCATTACCTCTCAGACATGCCTCTCTTTCAGAATATAAATTTCATATTTTACAAAATATTAATCTCTCTCTTTCTCTCTCCCTCTATACCATTTTCCCCCTAATCCTCTTTCTAATTCTTTAATCCTAATTTTTCCCGTGAAATAAGATTAATCGACCAGCGAGCATAGTAAGAAGAAAAATAAAACGAAATACATCGAAATTCATTCATGTCGGAGGTCGTTCCAATCACAAAAGTGTAGGAAGACATTTACAAATGATCTCCGTAATCTCAGTGCTTAACAGGCATAACAAGTTCTCTCGAGTCTGCAGCAACTTGTTAACAATCGCCTGCGGGCCGATGCAGCAGCGAGTGGCGTGTGACGCCCGGAACGCCGTCCTGCATTACGCAAATGAGGCATAAACTCTGACGCTCAATGGAGATTATTAAACAAGTAAATCACTTAGTGGCCTCTCACGTAGGAGAACACATTTGCATGTTGTGGAGAGTCGGACGAAATCTGCAATCTGCATTCCGCATCAGAGCGAGAGAAACATAAAAGCCAATGTCGAGGAGCTGAGATTTGGGCATTTGATATGCGTGTAGATATAAATATAACGCGATGGTTCTAGATGCGGAATAATGAATATTTGAATAAATCGAGGAAGAACGTGAATAATAAAGTAGATATAAAAGTATCGATATAAAAAAAAAGAATTTGCGGATTAAATCGGAGAACGATTAGATTCACCGACCGGCACTCTTGGAAGAAGCTTAATTCGATGGAATTTAATATATTCGCGCGCAAGCTTTCGACTGAGATGCAAAATTAATGAAGTAACGCAGATAAAGAATGAAAATCGAATGAAAATCGTGATTAACGTTGGACGTTTTTCATCCGCAGCGATTAAATGCACTTCTTGTCCGCGTTAATAATTATCACTGCGTTCATTAAATCTGGCATAATTACTTCCGACAGACTCCAACGAATATAATCGCGTTTTGATATTGTAGTTATAACAAGCACAACTTTAGAAGTAAATAATTAAATTTTTAAGCTGCTCGTTTCTTATTTTATCATGCAATTACTCATATAAAAGAGAGAGAAGATAGATAATCCATTTTCATGAAATTAGAATCAAGGTTAATATCATGTTTCATTTAATAGATTTCCTTTCGCTCGAATTATTCGGTTTATCATTTCACTCTTATCCGTCAATGCTTTTTCACTAATACATAATTAACCCTTACCATACCATCTACAATTTGGTGCCTCATCCATACCATCAAGGGTCACTTCAAATCTCTTCGTTTTTCCACACACCTCTTCAAAATAATTAAAAAAAATCTCTAAAAATTCACCAACGTACTTTCAACTTTCTAGAATAAATATTGACTCTTTATTTTGGGAAATAAATAAAATGTATAATTTATAATTACCGAAAGACTCAAAGAAACTTGCATGAACAGGAATCGCTCGGTCACTAGTTACCCATATTAGTACGGTAAGGGTTAATATTTCCAGAGAAAAACATGACTTTAAGTAGATTTAATAGATTTACATCCTTTAATAGATTAATTTCTTATTAGAACAAATTCTCAGATTTCCGTTCTTTGCACTAAAAATGTTTTGCAGCACAAATAGTACACCGCAATATAGAAGTTCTTAGGGAAGGCGGCGTTTATACGATCAGAAAGGACAAGATAATTAAATACCGTCGTAAAATTGCTTTGTTAAACGATAAAGTACGTTCATTCGAATTAGCACGTTAATGTTATGACAAATTAGTTTGCAAAATGACTCTAAACGTAAAGACTACTGAATTTCGAGATTTTGTCGAGAATTAGCAACAAATGTCATAAAGGTAAAAAAAACAGATGTATTTTTAAATACTCTCTTATTCTCAAAAGATAAAAAATTGTATAAATTGTATATTATAAATTGTAAAATTGTAAAAATTGTATAAGTTTAATATTTATATTTTTAAAAAATAAGTGGAACTTATTCATTTAGTCAATTAATTTCAAACATTTTAGAAGAATAAGAGCTTAGAGAACAGCTTTACACTTTCACTTTAAAAAATCTAAAAAAACATTAAAAATAATTAAGTTAATAAATAACACTTTCGTGGCATGAGAGCTAATTTCACTTGTACAATAATGAATCAATAATAATATACTGTTACATTCATAATGTCAAATTGTACTCAATTTGAGTTATTTTTAATCGTTTCTATAGGTCATCACTGCTCCTTCATAATATATCGTTAATTTAACTAAAATAATGGAGTTACACATTTTAACTTAAGAAAAAATGTAGGTATCAAATTTAACTGAAATTTAATTTATTATTTATTAAATGTATACGTTAATACAGACGTTAAAATTTA